CCCTAATCAGGCCGACTGTACTACCCTCTCCAGCAATGCATTCCACGCCCCTACCGCTCTCTGAGTAAAGAACCTACCTCTGATGTCTCCCCAGTATCTACCTCCACTCACTTTAAAACTATGCCCCCTCGTAATAGCTACCTCCACCCCGGGAAAAAGTCTCTGGCTGTCCACTCTATCTATACCTCTGATCATTTTGTACACCTCTATCGTCATTCCAAAGAGAAAAGCCCTAGCTCTCTCAATCTTTCCTCGTAAGACCTTCCCTCCATTCCAGGCAACATCCTGGTAAATCTTCTCTGCACCTTTTCCAACGCTTCCACATCTTTCCTGTAATGAGGCAACCAGAACTGGACACAATACTCCAGATGTGGCCGAACCAGGGTTTTGTATAGGGTGGGATTTGGGGGAAATGCGGGTTGGGGGAGATGGGGGGTTGTGGGAGATGGAGATGGAGGTGGGGACTTGGGGGAGATGGCGGAGGGGAGATGGGTACTGGCGGAGATGGGGTGAGGGAGGTGGGAGATGGAAAGGGGCTGGGGGTATGGAGATGGGGGCGATGGTAAGTGTGGGAAATGGGGTGTGTCATTAGGGGATGGGGATGGGGTATGGTGTGGGTGTGTGTAGGATGTGAGGGAGATTTGGGGTATGAGGGCGTTGTGAGGTGTTTGGGGTTGGATTATATGTGGTGTGGGTTGTTGGAGTACGGGGATGTGGCTTATAAGGGGGTGTGTGTATGGATGTTAGGGGGGTTGGGCTGTAGTTGGGGCTGGGTTTGGCAATGGGGGTGTACAGGAGTGTGGATTGTGGGGATGTGGATTATGGGTATGGGGGATGGGTGATAGGTGGGTGGAGGATATCGGTGTGTTGGATATGAGAGTATGGGTGTGGGGAATATGGATGTGAGTGTATGTATGTGGGGCGGGTCGAAAGGGGTATAGAGCCGGGGGGGTGGGGCATGGAGGTGTGGGATTGTGTGAGATGTTGGGGGTTGTAGGTTGGGGGTGGGTTGGAGTGTAGGGTATGGGGGAATAAAGGTGTGTCGGGTGGTTGGATTTTAGCAGTGGAAATGCCTGCAGTGACAAACTCAATACAGTTTCTCATCATAATACAGGAACCAACTGTAAATCCCAAACATTTACTCCAAATCCTGAATACTTCAAACACTAAATGCAGCCAAGAATGAAAGTCCTGAAGACTGTGTTTCCTGCCTGGTGCCAGCATTAGGGACATATCTTTGGGGCTGGAGAAGAACTTGGAGAGGGAAGGGAGGTTGTCGTCCATGTTGGTGCCAATGATATTGTTAGGACTGAAAAGGAGGTTTTGCTAAGACTTCGATAGTTTAGGAACTAACTTACAAAGCAGAACTCCCAACTGGATTACTGGAACTGGATAACTACCTGAGCCACGAGCATAAGCTAAATAAAGTCAAGGCATCAAATGTATGGCTGAAAGATTGGCATGTGTCAGATGGCTTTCAGTTCATTGGGCACTGGTATCAGCACTGGGTAGATGGTTGATGTTGGATGACCATCACTTCAACCATGCAGTGACCAGTGTCCTGGTGAGTTGAATAACTAGACCTGTAGAGATCAGAGGGTGGGGGTTTGGAAGAGGAGAAATGTAGGCTTACAAAGCAAAAGAAGATGGCAGCATTACAGGGCAGACTTTTGGATAATGATACATAATAAATAGGGTCAAAAAGGAAAATATTGATAAAAGAGCCAAATGGATCGGTCTTTACTTGAATACCCATATTATTCGGAACAAATTAGTTGAATTAACCACAGTATGATCTTACAGCCATGAAACACACTTGAATACAAGTAGATCAAAGCTGGGAACCAAATATTCAGGGGTATGTGACTTTTTGAAAGGACAGGCAGGAAGGAAAAGATGATGGGATAGCATTTTTGACACAGGATGGAGTAAGTACAATAGCAAGAAATGGTCTTGATTCAGAAGATGTAAAACCCAAATGTTTGGAGGTGAGAAATAAAAAGGGAAAGAAGACACAGGTAGGAGTAATTTATAGGTATCCTAACAATAGCTATACAGTGGAACAGAGATTAAACCAGGAGATAATGAGGGCATGTAACAAAGACAGTACATTTATCACGGGTGTCTTTAATCTGCATTTTGATTGGGATAGTCCAATTAGAGACACAGAGCTGTCCAGCTTGGAAACAGACCCTTCATTCCAACTCATCCATGCTAACTAGATATCCTAACTTACTCTAGTCATTTGGCCCATATCCCTCCGAACCCTTCCTATTCATATACCCATCCAGATGCCTTTTAAATGTTGTAATAGTACTTCCTCTGGCAGCTCATTCCATACACTACCCTCTGTGTGCCAAAGTTGCCCCTTAGCTCCCTTTTATATCTTTCCCCTCTCACCTTAAACCTATGTCCTCCAGTTCTGGACTCCCCCACCCCAGGGAAAAGACCTTGCCTATTCACCCTATCCATGCACCTCATGATTTTATTAACCTCTGTAAGGTCACCGCTCAGCCCCAGGGAAAATAGCCCCAGCCTATTCAGCCTCTCCCTACAGCTCAAACCCTCCAACCCCGGCAACATCCTTATGAATCTTTTCTGAACCCTTCACATTTGACAACATCGTTCCTACTGGCAGGGACACCGTGATTTCCCATGCAAAAAGCCATGTTGACTATCCCTAATCAGTCCTTGCCTTGTAAATCCTGTCCCTCAGGATTCCCTCCAACAACTTAGCCACCACCAATGTCAGGCTCACTGATTGACAGAGAAAGTCATAGGAAGAATTCAGAGAGTGCTTTCAGGACAGTTTCCTAGAACAATATGCAGTGGATCCAACTAGGGATTAGGCTATTTTGGATCTGGTGATTTGTAATGTAGCAAGTTTAATAAATGATGTCAGAATATGATACAGTGAATCTTGTACGTGTTACTCTCTGCTGCTACTGTGCCTTTGTGGTAGAAGTAGTGAAATTTTAAGATGATGAATGGGATGTTAGTCTAGCTGGCTGCTTTCCCTTGGTTGGTGTCAAGCTTCTTGAGTTTCATTGGAGCTGCACTGATCCAGGTAAGAGGAGAGTATTCCATCATATTGACTTGTGTCTTGTAGATGGTGGACAGGCTTTGGGAATCAAGAGGTGGGTTCCCTATTGCAAAATCTCTAAAAATCTGACCTGCTTTTATAGCTACGGTGTTTGTTTGGCTAGTCCAGTTAGACTATCTCTGACTGCCTTTGGATTAGTGGTAGTGGACTATTCAGCAAATGAATATCAAGATGAAATGCTTAAATTCTTTTTGTTTGAGATGGTCATGGACTGGAACTTGTATGGTGCTAATGTTACTTGCCTCTTATCAGTCCATATCTTGCTGCATATTATCATGGACTACTTCATTATCTGAGGAGTTGTAAATATTGTTTAATACTGCACAATCATCTGAATGCACCCTCTCTTAGACCTTATAATGAAGCAGCATGAGATGTTTGGGCCTAGGATCTAACTTCGATATGCCATTGCTTTAGGTAAAACGTTGCCAAAATAACGGATGCTGTCCAAGCTCACACGGTCCTGTGAGAAATGTCATTTTTGATTGTGGTCCCAAATGTAATCACTGTGTTTATTTAATTATATTTCCCATATTAGAACTATTTGGAACCATTTTATGTGGCGATTATTTTAATAGCACCAGTCAGCTCACAACGCTGGAATAATGCTTAGCCTGTCTAGCCCCATGATATCACCCACAGAAATATAGACGATGTGGCTCACTGATTCTGGCAGTTTACCATGATCTACAATAATTCTGAGTTGAATACATCTCTCAAACTATAAAGAGGAAGAAATTTCTAATCAGTGATGTTATGTACCCTGAGGCATATTTTTGAAATGGGAAATGGAGTGGGGAGGTGGGAAGTGAGTTGTTATGCAGGGATGTACTGTAGTGCTGCAGCAGTTAGGCAAACCAATGAGATGAAGTGCTGCAGAATAGCAAGGTACAGTTTTTAGCTAGCAACAATTTAACTTGTAAGGCAATCTTAAAGCAGCTAGCCTTATTTTCCTGGATGCATATGGAAGACTTTGAGGTGGTCTGATTGACATTTTTGAGATTATGAAGCAAATTGATAAATATGTCCCAGGCAAATTATTCACTTTTTCAGCAAAGGTTAATTTTGAGAGGGATGTTCAATTAACACCAAGAGAAACTTCAAATCCTCTCAGGAATGGTGCTCCAGTATAACAGTTCATTCTCATAACCAAGATTCTACAGTTCATACCAATGACACCCTCCTCAAACTACTCACTGTTCCTCTCGATCACTTTCTTCCTTGGTAATCTACGTGAATCATCCTTCTCTTAAATCAAATCGTTCCTCTGACAACTGCGATCCATCCAGACATCTCCCTAGCCTGTCTCACACTGTACTTTCCAGTGTCCTACACTCTCCCAATGCTTTCCAAAAACCAACCATTTATAACACCAGATTCTTTCATTTACTGCCAGCAACACACACTATTTATACTTCCTGATACAGCATAATTTGCTCCAATGTACAATTTTGAAGAGATTTGGAAAATCCACAGTTATAATATTACGAGTCTTTCAACACAGTATGTTACTTTCGTACAGACAGCCATGCCTGAAAAATGAATTAAAAAAAACCTCCACAATTGACTTTTAATTGAGCTAAGGAAATGTTTATTTTGATGATATGGGGAGTTCCTGAGAAGTGTTCTTAATGGATCAGACAAAATTAAACATGTTAGTATCTAAAACAACACTGCTGTCAGCAATCTAGCTATGAGCAGTATTTTAGGAGATTTCCTAGTTTTGTGCAATTCTGTTTTGTGAGAATTCTGAAATAATGAGAGGTCTCTCATAATCTAAAGTGAAAAGAGATTAATAACATCTTAAATAAAGCTCCTTGTGACAACTACAAGTCCAACAGTGGTTAGGACATTCTGTCATTCTGTTTTCTTATATTCACTTCAGCTGAAGAAATAAAAAACGGTCTTTTCCTTTTTACACAGTTTGAACTGCATGGATTGGAAATTACTTCCTCCAGCCACAGATGAGATGATAGAGAAGTCCATGCGGGTTAAAGGTCGTTTCATGGGTGACCCTTCTCATGAGTACGACACCAAAACAATTAAGAAAAGTGATGAAGAAATGATCGGTTTGGAGGTTAGTGTATGAATTCGACTTGAATCAGCAACACTTATCGCACTGGAATTGGTTGCAAATGAGTCTCAAAGGACTAGCAGGATGGAAATGGAAGAAGTAGGTCACAGAATGCTGCGTAGGCTTTCCTGCTTTGGATTACCAAATTCAGGGTCAGGTTACTTTGAGAAGCAATTGGCCACTTGTATATAGCATCAGCAAAGCTAGGTGCTGGGGGATTCACAAATAGCAACAAGGTCTGAGAGTTTTGGTAGAAACATGACCTATACCTTACTTTGAGATGAGGATAGCTCTCATACAGGGTTAACAGGGTTTTGGGGAGGGTGGAGGATGGCGGGTGGCGATGTGTGGAGAGCCAGTGTGACTCATTCCTGCTCAAAGTTTGCAGATGCTCACATTTAGATGCCTCAAAATTACTGTGGTTAAGGGATACATTCTCTGCCAACTTGTTTATAACTATAGAGTCAGTTTGAGAGGGGCTTAAATGGAAGGGAAGTAAAACCTAGGCATGACGTACTGCCAATGTCAATGGACTGGTAATCCTCTGGGGATGCTCTGGGGACGTGGGTTCAAATCTCGCTGTGGCACACTGTGCAGTTTGAATTCAGTGAAATCTGGAATCAATAAAAGGCATGTCTAATGATGACCGTATAACCAATGTTGATTAGCATTAAAAACTCATCTGGTTTCACTAATGTCCTTTAGGAATGGAATCTGTACATCCCTACCTTGTCTGGCGTATGTGTGACTCCAGATTCAGGTTGACTCTTGACTGGTTCTCTAGGCCATTTCAGAAAGCAATCAGATCAAAGGCAATTTAGTGATGGACAAGAAATATCAGCCTTTCCAGCAACACCCATAGCCCATGTATGAGGGAAAATGAACTAAAATCAGCCTTCCAATCAGATTCCCACTTTTGGTGGAAACTGTTTGTTTGGAGGTTGCTGATATTTCCACAATCAAACTGCAAACTCTCAGTTTCTGTACTCAACCATGAACAACTTTGTCCCTGTACTTGATGGCAGTCATCATCCATTGAACTCTTCTTTTTAGGGAAAGATATAAAGGAAAGTTAGAGAATAATAAAGAAAAAATGCTGCTAATGTAGCACTCTAACACTGCAAAATGTCTGTAGGTGCTTAACATGGGGAGGGGAGATGACCAAAAGTACAGTCAGATAGATGGTTTTTGCAGATTCTTTAATAGATTTTTTTCTATTTGTTCGTGGAATGTGGGTGTCACTGGCTAGATTAGCATTTATTGTCCTTCCCTAATTGCCCAGAGGGCAGTTAGGAAACAACAACATTGCTATAGGTCTGGAGTCACATGTAGGTCAGACCAGGTAAGGACAGCAGAATTCCTTACTTAAAAGGCAAGAGTGAACCAGATAGTTTTTTATGGTAATACCCAATCGTTACATAGTCATCACTAGGCCAGATCTTTATTCCAGAATTTAATGATTTCAAATTTCGCCATTGCCATGGTGGTGTTCAAAGCCATGTTCCCCAGAATATTGGGCCTCCAGTTGTGGATTGCTCATGCAGTGACATTAGCACTGAGGAAGGGAGAAGTCACTAGGCAGAGAGGTTTGGGAAGAGAATTCCAGAGTGCAGGACCGTGATGATCAAAGTATCTGCTACCAATTGTGAAATGGGAGAGAGAAGATATGGTGAGCAATGGTGGGATGAATTGAATAGCTTGTGAAATCATAACATCCAGTGGCAGATGAACAGCAAACTCAGGCTCCGATCTGGAATCAGAGATACAGACAGGGTGGCCATTTGGAGATTAGTGAGTGAGAATAATCAGTGGTCTAGGAGACAAGATACCAGCAGAAGTCAACTAACACAGACATGATTGATGAACAAAAAATATAATTTATGATCATCAGGGTTTTTTGAAAATCTACGTGTATTTTTGTTACAGTTGAAGGTAAAAGAGGAAGAACGCTTGACAGCTACAATTGAACAAATAAACAGAGAAGCAGCAATAATTCCCAGGGGAGCTTTTATCAAGACACCTCTTGAACAAATCCACAAGAACAGAAGTTTTGAAGGTAAATAATTTTTAAAGTTCAGGTTTCACTTGGTGCAATGGAGTCAAACATTTTTTTAATTCAGTCACAGGATGTGGGTGTCACTGCATTTATTGCTCATCCCTATTTGGCCTTGAGAAGGTGAACTGCCTTCTTGATCCGTTGCAGTTGACATGCTGTAGGTACACCCACAATGTGTTAGCGAGGGAGTTTAAAGATTTTGCCCTAGCGACAGTAAAGTTACGACAATATATTTCCAAGTCAGGATAGTGAGTAGCTTGGAGGAGAAATTGCAGGTGGTGGTGTTCCCATGTCCTTATCCTCAATGGAAGTGGTCATGCGTTTGGAAGATGCTACCTAAGTAACCTGAGTGAATTTCTGCAGTGCATCTTGTGGGTGGTGCACACTGCTGCTGCTGAGTGTCTGTGGTGAAGGGAGTGGATGCTTGTGGATTTGGTGCCAGTTAAACCTCTTTAGTGTTGTTGGAGCTGTACTCATGCAGACAAGTGGGGAGTATTCCATCACACTCCTGACTTGTGCCTTTTAGATGGTGTACAGGCTTTGAGGAGTCATGAGATGAGTTACTTGCTGCAAGATAACTAACATCTGACCGTTCTTGTAGCCACAGTACTTATAATACTACTCCAGTCCAATAGTAACCCCCCAGGATGTTAATAGTGGGAGATTTAGTGATGGTGATACTGTTGTCAAGGGACAACGGTTAGATCTTTTTCTTGATGGTCACTTCCTGGCACGTGTGTGGCATGCATGTTACTTGCTACTTGTCAGCCTAAGCCTGGATATTGTCTAGATCTTAAATAAAAACTGAAAGAACTGTGGATGCTGTAAATCAGGAACAAAAACAGAAATTGCTAGAAAAGTTCAGTAGGTCTGGGAGCATCTGTGAAGAAAAAAATCAGAGTTAACGTTTCGGGTCCGGTGACCCTTCCTCAGAACCATTCTCATTCGGATGTGGACTGCTTCAGTATCAGAGAAATCACAAATGGTGTTGAACATTGTGCAATCAACAGTGAACTGACCTTATGATGGAGGGAAGGTCATTGAAGCAGCTGAAGATGGTTGGGCATAGGACACTACCCTGAGGAGCTCCTGCAGAGATGTCCTGGAGTTGAAATTGTTTACTTCCAGCAACCACAGCCATGTTCCTATGTGACAGGTATGACACCAACCAGCTGGGAACTTTCGCCTGATTCCGATTGATTCCAGCTTTGCCGGAGCACTTTTTTTTACGTTATGAAGAGAGATCGCATATACTGGGATTGTCCTGGCCTCAAGTTCCACCTGCGCCAGCGTTGTGTATTTACGTCTCTGAACAGGTTGATTAGAAAATATCTAGACTGGGGTTGTTTTCCTGGGAGCAGAGGAGACTGAGGGGGATGATTGAGATGTATAAAATTTTGAGGGCTGTAGAAAGGGGAGACAGAAAGGAACATTTTCCCTTGGTGGAAGAATCAATGACCAGGAGGCATAAATTTAAGATAAGGGACAGGAAGTTTGGGAGGGATGTGAGGAAAAGAATTTCACCCAGAGGACGGTGGGAATCTGGAATTCACTGCCTGTGAGGGTGTAGAGGCAGAAACCCTCATAAGATTTACAAGTATTTCGATGTGTACTTGAGATGCCAAGGCATACACGGCTATGGGCCAAGGGCTGAAAATGGTTTAGAGTAGTTAGGTAACTGTTTTTGACTGCTGCAGACTAGATGTACCAATGGGTCTTTTCCTGTGCTATAGACCCCGTGACTCTATGATGCCACACCCGGTCAGATGTGTCCTTGATGCAAGGGCAGCCACTCTCACCTCACCTCTGGAATTCAGCTGTTTGGTTTATGTTTGGACCAAGGCTGTAATGAGGTCAGAAGCAGAGTGCCCTGCCAGAACCTGAACTGAGTGCTGCTTGTAGCACTATTGATGACGTCTTTGACTCACTGTACTCATGGCTGAGAGTAGACTGATGGAGGCAATATTTGTTTGGGTTGGATTTGTCCTGCTTTTTGTGTACAGTATGTACCTGGCCACTTTTCCACATTTTTTGGGTAGATGTCAGTGTTGTAGCTGTGCTAGAACAGCTTGGTGAGAGGAACAGCAAGTTCGGTTGTACGTTTGTTCAGTATTATTGCTGGAATGTTGTCAGAGCCCATAGTATTTGCAGTCCACTTGTCATTGATGGAGTGAACCAAACTGACAGAAGACTGGCACCTGTGATTCTGGGGATCTCTGGAAGAGGATGACACCTTATTTTTAGATATGCCTGGTGCTGCTGCTGACGTAGCCTCCTGCAGTTTCCATTGAACCAGGGTTGCTCCACTGGCTTGATGGTAATGGCAGAATGGGGGATATGCCGGGCAGTGAAGTTTCAGATTGTATCGGAGTATGAATTTGCTACTGCTTCTGTTGGTCCATATCACCACATGTATGCCCAGTTGTGAGTTGCTAGATTTGTTGGAAATCCACAACAAAACCAGAAGTTGCTGGAAAAACTCAGGAGGTCTGGCAGCATCTGTGGAGCAAAATCAGAGTTAACATTTCGGATAGCGTGACTGTTCCTCTGAACTGGAAATCTATCTCGTTTAGCATGGTAATGGTGCCACGCAACACATTGGAGGGTATTCTCAGTATGAAAGTGGGACTTTGTCTCTACAAGGACTGTGCGCTCACCACAACAGGCAGAGTGGTGAAGGTGAGGTCAAGTATGTGTTTCCCTGTCACGGCAGACCCAGGCAGGTAGTTACGTCCTTCAGGACCCAATTAGCTTGGTCAGTAGTGCTGCTACCAAGTCACTCTTAATGATAAACATTGAAGTCCTCCAATTAGAGTTCATTCTGCATCCTTGCCACACTCAGTTCTTCTTCCAAGTGTTGTTCAATATGGAGGAGTATTGATTCATCAGGAAGCATGGCACATGGTAATTAGCAGGAGGGTTCCTTGCCCATGTTTGACCTGATGTCATGAGGCTTCGTGAAATCTGGAGTCAACGTTGATGACCTCCAGGGCGACTTCCTCCCTCCTGACTGAGTGTGCTGTCACCTCTGCTCGATCTGACCTGAGGGTGGGAGAGGACGTACCCAGAGATGGTGATGGTGGTGTCTGGGACATCGCATGAGTATGACTATACTGTTGCTTGACTAGTCTGTGAGAGAGCTCTCCAAATTTTGGCACTAGTCCCTAGACGTTAGCAAGGAGGGTTTTGCAGGGTTGACAGGACTGAGATTGCTGTTATCATTTCTGGAGCTTTAGTTGATGCCTCATTATCTGTTTGATTTCATTCCTTTTTTGAGACTTTCTAGACTTGCTAGGCCATTTCAGTTGACAGTCTAGAGTCAACTCCATTGCTGTGTGTCTGGAGTCACATGTAGGTAAGGAGGAACCAGAGGAGGAATCAATCACCAGTGGTTTCACGGTCACCTTTATCTTTTAATTCCTGACTATTTTTTAATATATTGAATTCAAATTTCACCATCTGGTGTGTGAGAATTGAAGCTAGGGTTCCCAGAACATTACCTGGCTCTCTAGATTGCTAATCCAGCGATAATACTAGTGATTGCCTCACCTTACTAATCGCTCTGAGAAAATGGCAACCATTTTCTTGAACTTCTACTGCCAATGAGATGTTGGGAGGGGAGTTCCAGGATTTTGATCCAGTTGCAGTGAATGAACTGTAATAAACGTTCCAAGTCAGGATGATTTGTAATTTGGAGGTTCTGATGTTTCTATGTGCCTGCTGCCCTGGTTGTTTTAGTTGGTAGATTCGCAGGTTTGGAAGGTGCTGTTGAAAAAGCATTAAAATTATGGGAGATGTTTTACTGTACAAAATGTTTGTAAAGATTTAAGATCTCTATAGCCAAAATAAAGGCAGAAAGTATTTATATTTTTGCTACTGTTAATATTAAGGATGTCATAATATTGAATATTGTATTGTATGATGTTACATACTAGCATTACCTGGATCCTTGGAGAGGTTTCATCTGACTTTTCGTCTTCCCCAAAACCAAATGAAGTAGGAAAACAGCCACTTAGCCAGATCTACTCACGCCCCATACCTGATTGTCCTACCACGAATCATCATCTCTGCCACAATCTGTTCAACACCTACATTAATGTACTGTGGTGGAAACATTTGTTTAGATAGCACATTTCTTATGTCAGTTCCTGTGGGCAGGCAGCTCTCTGAGACCCACATGAGTTATTTATTGATATCAATGGAGAACATTTCAGGGCTGCACAGGTTACAGGCAACAGTGCTGCCAGCTTCCAGCACCACTAGAAACTGGAGGTGGAATCTGCACAGTAATTACCCCCAACTTAGATCCTTCCCACACCTCCATGAAAAGATTTCAAAAATTTTTATTGTTTTCCCTAAAGACCCATCAAGAAGATACCCCTAAGGTACCTACCTACTAAGCCACTGCTCCTTCGTCCCAAATGGTAGCCCAGCTTTGATGAAGAGTCATCTAGACTTGAAACATTAGCTTGCTGTCTCTCTATGGATGCTGCCTGACCCACTATGATCTCCAGCTTTTTTTGTTTTCAGTACAGATTCCAGCATTTGTAGTAATTTGTTCCTGCTTCCACACATCTAGTTTTCCTCAAGTATTTCCATTCTGAGTTACACGCTTCTGCACCTGCCTTTTGGTAATGTCCCTAGAATCATAGAATCATACATTACAGAAGAAGCCATTCAGCCCATGTCTGTACCACCAAAATTACACTCCATAACCTACACTAGTCCCACTTCCCCACACTAGGCCTGTAATCTTGAATGCTATTACACTTCAAGGACTAATCCATGTACTTTTCAAAGGTTGTGAGATTTTTCACCTCAACTACCCTCCCAAGCAATGCATTCCAGACCCCCGTCATCTCTTTATGTGAAAAAGCTTTTTCTCAAATCCCCTCTAAACATTCTGCCTTTCACTTTAAGATTATGCCTGCTCTTCCAAGCTTGAATCTCTAAGTTTGTGAGAATGAAACCTATTAACTTGACTCAACCCACCTCTTACCTCGAAGATTCTGCATATTTCAATCATCTCTACCTGAGATCTTCTCTTCAAACAGTCCCAGACTCTAACCTCCCTTCATAATATAGATGTTTTGTGCGAGGTATAGGCTTGGTTTCTGATTTCCAAAGTGCCTCCAAGGCCTGTTGGAAGACAGTACTCCTGATGCCACTATTAATGTTTTTTACACTGACTCATTATTATCTCCTGGAATTCATGCATCCCAAGAGCAAGACTAAAACTGTACTAATGCAGAATCATCGGGGTAGTTCGATTGCTAAGTGTGAGACCTGTGGGATTTTTATGTGAGTTGAGCTGATGGAAAAATAAATGCAGCTGGAGTTCAAAGGAGGCATCATTAGACTCAGTCTGGAACCTCTTGCTTGTCGAGTTATTCAGAGATTTCATCTGCAAAGAAAATTTCATGGTGGTGCTGTTAGGTTAATAGAATTGTCCACCTTGCATTTTCCCTCAGGTTTGTCAGTGACCGAGGCTGGGAAGTTGCAATCCTACCTTCACTTCACTGAGCCTTCCGTACTGAAGAAGAAGTCACTGCTATTGCAAGCCAATCTGGAGGAATCAATTGATTTTCTCAATTCTCTTGATGATGATGAAATGAAAGGTACATCACTGAAACTTATTCCAGATCTATGGGGGCTAAAAGAATGAAATTTTGTTCACGCAAATAGGCTTTTGGCCCCTTGATAAAAAGGGTGGTCCAACTGAGGTGCTTAACATAATTAAACAATTTGATAGGGTAAGAAAAAGAAATTCATTCCTGCAGTTCAGCAATCCTGAACAAGGGGCCATAACCTTAAAGTTAAGCTAGGCATTTCAGGTGTAAAGTTATGAAGCATATCTTCAACATAGGATATTAGAAATGTGGAGCTTTCCAAGAAAAAAACTGTTGAGACTGGGAACCAATTGGAAATTTTAAAAATAAGATTAATAGAATAGAAGGGAACTGAGGCAGGTAAACAGAGTTAAGATATAAATCAGCCATCATCTAAGGTCATAAGATCATAGAAATAGGAGCAGGAATAGGCTATTTGGCCTGTCTAGCCCTTCTCCACTGTTCAATAAGATTACGGCTGATTTGATTATGACCTGACTCGACTTTTCTGATCGTTCTCCATGATTCATTGCTGTTTTGTCAAATAAAAATCTGTCTAACCTGTTTAATAGATCGAAATCCACGTGTTGAAGTAGTCAGCAAAAGTGTGTGAGAGATTTACAAAGATGAAATCTCTGAATAACTCGCCAAGCAAGAGGTTCTAGACTGAGTCTAATGGTGCCTCCTTTGAACTCCAGCTGCATTTATTTTTCTATCAGCTCAACTCACATAAAAATCCCACAGGTCTCACACTTAGCAAGGTTTTATTGTAAATCCATAGTTTAGTACAAATGGCAGTTTCTACATTTCCATTCTGGACTCTTTTCCTGTCCAAAAGCCAACTTCCCACTGGGAAGAAGCTCTTTATTTTAACATAAATAAAACCACCACCAAATTCACAAACCACCCAGTTAGGAGTATCTCTGGAGCAGATCACACTTGAATCCAGGCTTTCTGGCCCAGAGGTCAGTATATACTATACATTAATGACATTGAATGACAAAAATGAATGTACTATTGCCAAGTTTGCAGATGATATAAAAATAGATGGGAAGGCAATTGGTGAGGTTGACATAAAGAGTATACAGAGGAATAAAGACAGGTTAACTGACTGGGCAAAGACCTTGCAGATGAAATATAATGTGGAAAAATGTGAGTTTATGCTCTTTGGCAGCAAGAATAAAGGAGCTGAATATCATTCAAAGTGAAAAAGACTGCAGAAAGTTACAGAACAGAGGGATTTCGAAGTTCCCATCCATGAACCATAGAAAGCTAGTATCTAAAATTGGCTGCTAACAGGGAAGGCAAATGGAATGTTGGCCTTTATTTCAAAAGGAATGGAATGTAAAACTAGGGAGACCTTGCTAAAGACGTACAAGGCACTAGTCAGACCACAGCTGAAACATTGTGAACAGTTTTGGGCCCCTTATCTAAGAAAAGATATACTGGCATTGGAGGCAGTACAGAGCAGGTTCAGTCGGCTGGTATGGAGCGACTATCATATGAGGAGAGATTGAGCAGATTGAACCTGTACTTGATGGAATATAAAGGAATGAGTGGTGACCTTATTGAAACATACAAGTTTCTTAGTAGACTTGACAGGGTAGATGCAGATAGGTTGGTTTCCATTGTAGGTGAGTCTAAGCCCAGAGTTCGTGACCTCAGAATAATGGGTTGTACATTTAAGGCACAAATGGGTCGTTAAGTATGTTCAAGGCTGATAGAGATTTTTAATCAGTCAGGGTTGCGTGGAAAAGGCAGGAAAGTGGAGTTGAGGATTATCAGATCAGATCCAATTAAATGGCAGGACAGACTTGATGGATTGAAGGGATTACCTTTACTCCTAGGTCTTATGGACATGGTCTTATAAAGGAAGAGAACCCAACTTTTTCCACAGGTAGTGTTGAGAGGGAGGAGGCAGCAGAAGGACTTGGGCAGGTTAGGATCATGGATAAAGAAGAGGCAGATGTAATACAACGTGGGAAAGTGTGAGGTTATGCACTTTGGTGGGAAGAACAGAGACGTAGAGAATTTTCTAAATGGGGAAAGATTTCGGAAATCTGAAGCACAAAGGGTTTTGGGAGTCCTAGACCAGGATTTTCTTAAGGTTAATGTGCAGGTTCAGTTGGCAGTTAGGAAGGCAAATGCAATGTTGGCATCCATTTCAGGAGAGCTAGAATACAAGGTCAGAGATGTACTGCTGAGGCTGCATAAAGATCTGGTCAGACTGCATCTGCAATATTGTGAGCAGTTTTGGGCTCTATATCTAAGGAAGGGCCTGCAGCCTGCTCACTGTCCCCACATCACTAGGACCTGCAGCCTGCTCGCTGTCCCCACATTGCTAGGGCCTACAGCCTGCTCGCTGTCCCCACATCGCTAGGGCCTGCAGCCTGCTCACTGTCCCCACATCACTAGGACCTGCAGCCTAATTGCTGTCCCCACATTGCTAGGGCCTGCAGCCCGCTCGCGGTCCCCACATCGCTAGGGCCTGCAGCCCGCTCGCTGTCCCCACATCG